TACAGTTGTCCCATTTTCCTCTCTTCACTCCCCTCCACCCTGCACACCTGCTCCCACCCACATTCCCCCCGTTCATGTCCATGGGTCGTACGTATAAGTCAGGGTGTCAAACTCACTTTCACTGGGGGCCACATCAGCCTCACAGTTGCCTTCAAAGGGCTAAATGTAATTTTAGGAATGTATAAATGTAACTACCCTTAACACTTAAGCGCTGCTGCCGGGTACACACAAGGTGCTGGGCCATATAAAACAAGGTGGAGGGCCGGATTTGGCCCATGGGCCTTGTGTTTGCCACCTGTAATATAAATTCTTTGGCTTCCACATTTCCTATACTATTCTTAACCTCCCCCTATCTTCTACCTACAATTTATGCTACTTGTTCTCTGTACCTTTTCCCCCTCTTTCCCTTTCTTCCACTGATAACCCTCCATGTGATTTCCATTTTTGTGGTTCTGTTCCTGTTCTAGTTGTTTGCTTAGTTTGTTTTTCTATTTTTTTAGGTTCAATTTTTAATAGCTGTGAGTTTGTTATCATTTTATTGTTCATTTTTTTATCTTCTTTTTCTTAGATAAGTCCCTTTAACATGTCATATAATAATGGCTGGGTGTTGATGCTGGGTCCTGCTGCCTCAACCCCCACAGGTGTTTTCATTCAGAGGTTTAAGGCTTTATTTCCCCACGCAGGAACCCTGGGTTGCGTGGTCTGTCTTGCTCCCCAGATGTTCCTCCCAGTTTATCTGCACGTAAATGTGGGACTGCCCTGTCTGCCAGCTGCTGTGCACTGTGTCTACCAGCCACCACCTTGCCCGCCTTGGTCCTCCAGCCGCCTTGCTGTGAGTCCTCTCTGCCTGGCTGCCTGTCCCCGCCCCTCCTACTGCTCTGGATGAATGTTTCTTCTTTAACTCCTTGGTTGTCGGACTCGCATACGGTTTAATTTTCTGGCAGTTTTCATTGTTTTTGTTTTTAAGTTTGTTGTGGTCCTTCTTTTGGTTGTGTGAAAAGGCACAGTGTGTCTACCTACGCCTCCATCTTGGCTGGAGTCTAGAGTAACTTATTTATAGTAAAATCCATTCATGTCCAAGGAGACCAATGTTTGCTGACCAATGTTTGCCGACCTCTGAATTCTGATACTAATTGACTTTCAGGGTAGAGTCCTAGGGGGTGTGATGGGTGGCAGCAATGGCAGTAAACTGTTCTACTAAGAGCTTCATAGAATAACAGAACGTAAGAGCTACAAGTGACCCTACAAATTATTCATTCTCAGTCCTAGAGTCCATGATAAAATTTTCACTGATGCACAGAAAACAGATATATTTAGATAATCTATCATACTTCTTCAAAAAAAAGAGATGAAGTCAATTTAAAGGATTGTTCTTTAGTCTAAGATGAATATTTTCCCACTTTTGTAGTATTAAAATATTCTTTCTTGTATCAAAAGATAGTGATTATAAATGGCAGTTTGGAATTTAAAGAAATGAATGTAGTCTATCCCTGTTCCTCATTATTACCCCAATTAGTTTTTGAAATATTTATGGAAATATAACATATGTACTTTCTAATTAGTTTCAATAGTCCTGTACCTATGATAGCTTTCTAAGCTGGCAAAATGAAAAGTTAGGCAACCCCAGGTAAGTCTCCCGAAATTTAAAAAAAAATTTTATTTATTGATTTTAGAGAAAGAGAAGAAGGGGGGGGAGAGAGAGAAAGAGAAAGAAAGAGAGAAAGAGAGAAACATGAAGTGTCCTGCCCACTCTATCATGCCCCCATTGGCTGACTCCTGTGTGTGCCCTGATGGGAGATGGGACCTACAATCCTTAGCACAGTAAGACAATGCTCAACCCAATGGCCAGGGCCTAAATTGTTTTTTAAAGAAAAATTGCGTGTTCATAAAATGGGATTGAGTTCCACATACTTCCCATTTGCAGAAAAGAAAATGAGAGTGTAGAGAGGTTTAATGTTAAAGCATTATACATACATCAAAGGTCTCCTACTTGGTTAACAGCAAAACCAAGGCTCTAGAACCAGGGCTCTTGCCTCCCGGAGTCCAGAGCTCTTACATCCTACACAGGTGTTCAATGCTAGCGGAGCATAGAATTTGATCCTAAAACTGCTTACAGTGCAAAATTGAGATGAGCGTGATTTTATACAGTCTGTTAGATAGCATGTTAAGCCCACTGTACCTTGTCACAATTATCTCTTATAGTCATGACAGATAACCTTTATGGAGCATTAATTACACATTTTTTTGTGATTTGTGTGATCAAAACTGAACAGAATAGCATAAGATTTTATAAATATGTACAGAGAAATATGCACTCAGTTTCATCATCTCCACTTATAAATGAACTCCACTCAGCTCATTTTCTTCCTTATCGATCATGAAATGGCTGCCACCACTATTTTTTCCTTGCAGTTCACAACATTTAATTCAAAGGCATTAATTCTGCATTTAGGACAAGATGGGCTGGCTGACTCATGCCCATGAACGGAGCCATGTCAATACATTAAAAAAATAGATGATGTGTCACCAAGACAAACACAAAAGCCTTTAAACCCAGTCCCGAGGCCAGGAAAACATTCGGCACTATGATGCCAAAAATTTGAATCATTTATCTCGAGTTCTCATTCTTATTTTAATTAGTTTCATAGTCGCTGCATTTAGGGGAGTTTCTAAGCTGGCAGTTCACTGAAGTTGCCGTTTAGTGTGCAGGCTCCCATTCTTATCTTTTGCTTCCCGAACATTTTGATCTAGCAGCCATAAACACAACCCATTGTTTTAAAGAGGCCAAACTAAAACAAAAGCCCTTCCCTAAAGTAAGGCAGATACCCAGTAAACTTAAGGTACTATCTTACTTGGTGCCCTAGGCTTTTTTTTTTTTAATTTTGGAATAATTTTAGACTTACAAAAAGGTTGCAAAAATATGTGTGTGTATTCATCACTCACCTTTCTCTAATGTTAATATCTTACACGATGACGGTACAATGATCACAGCTAAGAAGTTTAACGTGGGGCCCTGGCTGGTGTGGCTCCGTGGAATGAGTGCCAGCCTGTGAACCAAAGGGTTGCTGGTTTGATTCCCAGTCAGGGCCCATGTCTGGGTTGCAGGCCAGTTCCCAGTAGGGGGCATGCCAGAGGTAACGACACATTGATGTTTCTTTCCCTCTTTACCTCCCTTCCCCTCTCTCTAAAAATAAATAAATAAAATCTTAAAAAAAAAGAAATTTAACATGGGAAGAGTACTGTTAACTAAACCATAAACTCCACTAGCATTTCACCAGAGTTACCACTGTTGCCGTTTTTCTGGCTCGTGTTGTCATATCTCCTTTGAGACTGTTCTTTAGTCTTTCTCTGACTTTCATGATCTTGCTACTATTACAGAGTACCGGAGGATTATTTTGTAGACCTCCTCCCAGTTGGGATCACTGAACCACGGGAGGGGGAATGTAATGTCCAAACGTCTTATCTCTGGTGGTGCAAACCCTGTTTACTTGGTTAGGACGGTGCCCTTGACTTCTAATTGCTCATATGCTGTTATGCTAAGGTCTTTCCTGGAGCAGAGATGACAGCTGAAGTAACAGCATCCTTATAGGAGGTGGGATGGAAGGGAAAGGCCTTCCTGACCTTCTACGTGTAGCTGCTGGCCAACAGGCTTATCAAGGGCAGTGACCCTGATGAGAGAGATGCCTGAGAGAATGGAACATAGGATGTCAGCAACCTGACAGAAGGAGCCACAAGCTAATACCTCTGAGAATTTGCCGTCATACACAGGCAGGGGTCCTGGATTGGCCAAGGGGCCTTGTGAGGGCAGCCGTTCCTCCCAGGGAAAGAGGATTTGATGCAGCAGGTGTTTGTGTCTTTCTAGATTCCCGCTCTTCCCTTCCTTCTCCACTGCTGGTTACTTTTCTGAGACTAAAAGCCTTCTACACTCACCTGATCTCTGGTTCTAACAAAATCCCAGTAAGAATATTTGTCTATTGCTCTGGGGTAATTACTTTAAGTTAACTTCCATAGGCTGCCATAGACAACAGCTTCCCTGCCACCCACCTGTCCCCAGAGGAAACACCCACAATCCAGTACAAACTTCGCTGCTCAGTCCTGGAGACGACACAGGAACCAAGGTAACACGTTCTTTCTTTCTTTTGTCAAATTGAGACGTAGTTCACACCCTATCAAATTCACAGTGCATCATTCAGTGGTGTCTGGTGTATTTACAAGGTTGCATAACCACCACCACATCTATTCCAGAACATTTTCATTGCCCCAAAAAGCAATTTTGTACCCATTGTCACTCCCCATTTCCCTCTGCCTCCAGCCCCTGGCACTCACTAAACTACGTTCTACCTCTATGGATTTGCCTATTTGAACCAAGGTACTCTTCATTCCAAATAATAATAACCAAGATAATCTCAATCTAGCTAACCTAGGATCACACACACACACACACACACTCTTGAATTTTGATTTCGGCAGCACCTCACCTTCCCCTTTGATACTCTGCTTTCCCTGTCCCACCCCATCCCCCAAACTGTGTCCCAGAGGTGACTTATCTGCGTTTGTCCTGCACAGGGTATAACTCACCCTGCCCTTCCCTCTTTATCAAAAACCACCTGAAGTCCTATCAGTGCCCTGCATTTGGGAGGTAATGCTCAGGGAAATTTATCTCTGCTGAGGTGCTAACAAGGAACAGATTTACATTTTAGTAAAGAACTTCTGGAACCCAAGGCTCAGCTACCCAGAGGACCCGGTACTTGGGACTGTCCCAGTTTATGCTCATTGCCCTGGCTCGTTGGCAATAACATCCCCTTTCCCTCTCAAAAGGGTGCTGGTTGGGTGCTTAATTCTATGGTCACCCAACCTTAACCAAAACAAATGACTAACCACAGTAATTAGAGGTATTTTGGTAGGCCAACAGGGAAAATCAGTTTAGGTAAATGAAGTTTCAATGTTTCTCAAATCAAACCCCAGGTCTACATTCCTATAAAAAGATAAAATTCACCAACCTGTAGGAATCAGGGTCTCATCCACAGGCAAAAAAGCATCAGCTTCTATAGTGACTTCGTGGTCATAGATATTTGGGGAGCCCTGGGAGAGAAAAGGTAGAGAAGAAAAGATTTAAAGCTAAGTCTTATTTCATATGCTTGCTTTATAACTTCTCCCACAGAAATGTTTCAAGCGTTGACACAAACTTTAGAAATCGCATTTGACCTCTGGGGATGACTGATAGTTTCACTGAAGTGTGGGTAGACGGGTCCTCAAAATAGCAGCAGATTTGAAAGAAGCTCTCAAGCATGACCCCAGCATGCATTTTCTTTTCCAAATGAAATTGTAAAGGTGCAAAGTCACAGAGACGCCAACGATTTGCAAGTCTTTTGCATTTCGGCTGATTAGCAGAGGGCTTTTCCCACGCTCCTCACATGCCAGGCAAACAGAAGAGCAGGCGCCAGCGGCCAAGGCCTCACCTCCAGCTCACTAGAGGTGGGGCACATGTCACCGTTTCTCTGGCCCACTTCCCACCCAGACATTCCCGGCCACATGACAGAAGCCTGGGACTCAGAACTGGGGTCCTTGCTTTTGAGAGCTTGTCTGTCCCCTCCATAAAAATGCACCCTGCGCGTCTTGGGGAGTCAAAGACTAGGTAGTGGTCAGAGGCCTGGAGTCTAGTTCCAGCTCCCACTGAGTGGTCCCAGGGAGTTACATAAACCTCCAAGAATCTTATTTCCTTCAGAGTAAAACTGAGCTAACAATGCCCCCACCTCTTCCAGGGTTCTTGTGAAGCACAGTTTAGTAAAGACATGTATTGTTGCTTGCAAACTGGAAGGTACACGGGTGCATTTCTAACTTAAGAGATTCTTTTTATTATTAATAGGAGTTTATTCTAGAGCTTCACGGCATAAGATATGAAAGGGAAACCAGATGTGGGCTTTTGTTTCATGGATATTCAAAAATAAGTTAATCCAGGGGTTCTCAATTGGGGACGATTGTGGCCCACTGGGAAACAATTTGACAGAGTCTAGAGATATTTTGGATGGTCCTGGCTGGGGGTGGTAATACTGATGGCATCTAGTGGGAAGAGACCAGGGATTCTACTAAACACTCTGCAATGCACAGGACTGTCCCCCCACACCTGCAATAAGGAGTTATCTGGCCCGAAATGTGAACAGGGCCGAGACTGAGTAACCCTGAGCTAAGCTACACTGAAGGTTCTGCTGGGCTCCTGAGAAACCAGGAGAGAGCCCTGCGGTTCATGGAAAACACAATCCCACGGTCAGAAAGACTCAGGTCCACATAACCAAATGGAGTTGTCCTAAGAAGAAAGGCCAAGAGTTTAGAGACCTCAAGAATGTGTCCAGACAAGACAAATTGTTTTCATCGCACTACTAAGAAGGTTTGTTTCCGAAGAACATCTCTTGATTTCTCCCAGCGGGTACATGCTGGGCAGGGGTAGGAATGGGGCGCAGGCAAGGCTGGGGCACAGGTCTCTCTTCTGCTTACACTAGCTTTGCCCTTGTTCGCGGTCCCTGTTCTGACCTGGGAGGGCAGGCCCCAAATGAGAGGGGTCTGCAGCCCTGCCTCAGGCCGCTCTAGACTAGAGGAGTCACTTCCTGTGTGGCTCTCCACACTGCCACCTTCTTAGGCCTCAGTGGGGCTGCTGGCCCCAAAGAGGCTTCGGGGACTGAGGGGCGTCTTTTCTCTGATGAGAGAAGAGAATTTGAGACTGTTTTCTTGGCTTTATCTCTTCACCGCTCAGTTCAAGTTTGAGTAGCATTCCATTATATGGCTGCATCACAACTTGTTTACCCAATCTCTTGCTGACAGACTTTTGGGTTGTTCCACTTTTTTTTTTACTATTACAATAAAGCTGCTTAGGAATTTCCTTTATCTGTTTGTTTTTTAGTACTAAGGCAGGAGAAAAAAAAATGATTCAATGTGAAAATCACACACCAAATAAACTGGTGAATCTGAGATGTTGGGAAGAAGCCTGGGAGGAGAAGGGAAAGAAACGTCTGTTAGGCGCCCAGTCGCCTTGTGGCTATTGGGTCACTAGGCAGCACTAACATTCCTGCGTGAAAGGGAAGCACGCCTCATTTCATGGCCCCTGACCTGGAATAATGTGGTGGCCCGCCGTGGTGGAATATCATTGTTGGGTTCATTCCTTTAGGCTGATGAGAACTTGGCAAGGAAAGCTGCCTTACAAAGAGAACTTGGGTCCATCTCTGAGTTCAGTGTTTATTTTGGTGAACCTGGCTTGGCCGTTACTAGTCTGTTACATTAGCCATTTACAGAGCTCACCGTGGCCTGCATGGGGCTTTAAAGGCCTTTTTGTTGTGCTTTGCCACTACCACGGCCTTAATTCAGCTCTTAATCACCTCTAGCAGGATATAACAGACACTATTGGTTACTACCCAAGCCATAGCCACGCCTTTACCAGCACCCTCCCTTTCCCCTGGAAGAACCAGGGCCTGTTGATTTATCCTATGCTAAACTAGATATGCAGGGAAAGGGCCCTACCCTCACCCTGGCCCCAGAGGGCAAATCTCGATTGGTCTAAGCCAGTCGCAGTGGTCTAATTCCCTTGCTGGTGTGATTGGGTTAGATAGGGCATTGGATGTGTTTTGGCCAACAAATGTGAGGCAAAGTTTGGTGGGGAGTTTCTGGGAAAAGTTTTGCTTGTTCTTAAAAGGAAACATTAGCCCTGGCTGGTGTGGCTCAGTAGATTGAGTGTTGGCCTGTGAACCAAAAGATCACCAGTTCGATTTCCAATCAGGGCACATGCCTGGGCTGTGAGCCAGGTCCCGGGCTGGGGGTATGCAAGAGGTAACTGATGGATGTTGCTCTCACCCATCAATGTTTCTCTCCCTTTCTGTCTCTCTTCCTTCCCCTTCCTCTAAAAAATAAGTAATTTGTTTTTTTTTTTAAAGAACATGAGTGCTTGTTGTGGCTCAGTTGGTTGGGCGTCATCCCACAAAGCAAAAGTCACCAGTTCAATTCCTAGTCAAGGTAAATGCCTGGGTTGCAGTTTTGGTCCCTGGTCAGGGCATGCGTAAGAGGCAACCATCAATGTTTGTCTCTTGTATAGATGCTTCTTTCCCTCTCATTCTCCCTCCCTTTTCCTCCCTCTAGATATAAAAAAGGTAAAATCTAAAAAATAAAGATAAACAAACAATAAATACAATGGAACATTAGAGAAGTGAAAAAAAGGAACAGGTCCTTTTTTGTCTCTAGAAGTGACTACATGGTTTCTGGAGCAACCATCTTGTGACCATAAGGGAAGAGAGGCCAAAACCCTGAAGGAACAGAATGGAAAAACAGAAGAATCTGGGTCCTCGGTGACATCCCTACCCAGTCGTACCAGAACCCCAGTTATTGCTTTGCATCTCTAGTTCCCCTGGCCTGCATTGAGAGCTCTTTAGATAAAGTTTCAGTAAGAAGCATGTTCTCCCTGTTTTGTGTTAGGCAAGAGCAGGAACAGCCGAAAGAGAGAGAGGGAGAGAGAGAGAGAGGGAGGAACAACCAAACTGCAACCTGCGTAACTTTTCCATTCTTTGAAAAACACACTTCCTCCTTCCCCCCAGGCCTCCAACACTCAAACTTAGAAATGATGACTCAAAGATTGGCCCCAAGTAGAACAAAAGTACCCTATTAAATTAAAAACCCAAACAAAAAAAAAAGTTTAAGTTGAGCTGACTACCTTAAACACCAAGTTCTGATCTGTTTCCTTGGGGAGGGTTAAAGATACATGATAGCGTGTCTGGGGGTGGGGCAAGAGACGCTCTGCAAATACAGAGGCCCCATGACCCCAGGCCTGGTGATTGACCTTCCACTCTCACCTGAGCACCCCGAAGGCTGACCACCCCACCCACCCTCAGCCGTGGAGCTAGTAGCTGTGCATCACAGCTACCCTTACGAAGACAGAAGGGACCTGACACCGCCCACCCTCCTGGGTAGGCTTTGCAATCTGGGAAACTACTCAGCCTTCGGAAAGAGGTTCAGAAATACCTGTCACTTCGAGTGCCTGTAGGACTGGAAGGGCGTAAAAATTCTGGTCAGGAGGGTCCTGCTGCCACGTGAATGGAAAGAGCCTTAGTGAACCTTATATTGCCATTAAGTCTCCTCCACCAGAACACATGGGCGGATGGAGTACTTCCCACATAGTTTCTCTTTCTGTTTCTGAATCCATTCCTTTAGACCATCCTGATTATAAAGCAGGATATCCTAAAGATATAAAAATGTGGAAAACAGTGAAATATCACCATGATCTATTACCACATAAAACCATTAATATTTCGCTCTGTTTTTGTCAAGTTTCTTTCTGAAGTTATTTTTAAAAGTAGGGTCTTCACTGCAGAGCCCCTTATGGCTGGGCGTGCTTGCTTTTTTGTGTGTGTTTTGGTTAGTCTTAAGATCTCAACAAGGATAGTGGAAGTTCCTGAAGATAAGGAACAAGCAAGTGAAGAAACATCTTTCTTATTTTTAAAGGGAGAACTTTGGAAATTATATAAGAACCAATAAGCCATGCTATTTGAAAAGATCCTAGGGAAAAAAACAGCAGATCATCAGCAAACTCCTAAAAGAGTGTGAAAATATAAGATATTACTATCTGGCTGTGAACATCACTTCGTGGTAGAAAATCATGCCAAAGTGATTCAAGAACAGTAGAAAATGATGAGTACTTCATGTGAACAGGAAGTAACAGATATAATCTACAGAGTTTAGCTGTGCTTTTTTATTCTGTCTCCTGCAATAACCTCTCCAGCAAGCTAAAATATCAGCTTTAGGAGGGGGTGAGGTAGTTTAGAGATTATCTAAGAGGGGTTAACAGTGTCTCTATACCACACTTAGGGTGGGCTGCGCAGCAGGAACACACAAATATTGGCAGCATATCTAAAGAGGTTGGGCCAGGCACATTTCCAAAAGTCCAAGGGTAGAAAGCACTTTACTTGGAAATAATCTGGGGGACAGTAGGAGTGAAGTAGGGCAAATGTAAGTATATGTTACTAGATGAAAGGGAATTCTTTTTTTTTTTAAGATTTTATTTATTTTTAGAGGGGGAGGGAAGGAGAAAGGGAGAGAAATATCAATGTATGGTTGCCTCTCATGCATCCCCTGCTGGGAACTGGCCTGCAACCCAGGCATGTGCCCTGACTGGGAATTGAACTGCCATCCTCTGGTTCCCAGGCCCACACTCAATCCACTGAGCCACACCAGCCAGGGCCTTTTTAAAAAAATTCATTTTATTCTCATTGGAGAGAGAGGGGAGGGAGGAGAAAAAGAAATACTGATTGGCTGCCTCCTGTGTATGCCCCAACTGGGGATCGAGCCTGCAACCCAGGCATGTGCCCTGACCAGGAATTGAACCAGTGACTTTTTGGTTATGGGATGATGTTCCAACCAACTGAGCCACCCTGGCCAGGATGAGAAGGAATTCTTAAAGGAACTCTTAAGAAGCAGATAATTCTCTTGGTGGTACAATGTATTTAACCTAGCTTTCCCTACAACTTCCATTTTTTGAGCACCTACTGAGCCAGATGCTTTGCTGGGCACTTTTCATCATCCAGAGTAATTTCCTGCTGGTTGGTCTCTCCAGCCACTCCCCCAGGTCATTCCACAAAACACAGGGCAGGAGAGAAGAGGCAGGGTGCACATGGCACCACTGGAGAGCAGAGGCAAGGGCACTTACCTGGCCAGCCAGGTTGAAATAAGAATGGTTGGTCAGGTTGACTGGCGTGGTCTGACTGGCCTGAGCTCGGTAGTTGACCACGAGCTCCCCACCATCCAGGGTGTATGTTACCCAGACTTTCAGCTCCCCGGGGTAACCTTCCTCACCGTCTGGACTGACCCGTGAGAACTGGACGCCATTCGACAGCACCTGCGGGGTCCAGAGGACCTGGGAAAAGAGTGTGTTCAAAGCCGTTTAGTCACTCCAACCCCAGGCGGAACGCCACGTTTCCATGTTAAAGACAACTGATTCCACCGTCAGACAACTAATGATGGAATCAACAAGGTTTAAAAGAACAGCTTAGGTTTTAATTATTTAAAAATTCTGTTTTATACAGAATTTGAGAGAAAAAAATTTCTCTTTACCTACTCACATTTCCTATCCTGTTTTCCCTTAAATTTATATGTATGTGTCTAAAATATTTCTTCCCCTACTTTGAAACTTTTTTTTTGAAATCTCAGCACCGTATTCTAAGTGTAGCAATATAGCAATGTCTACTGCCTGCTAATAGTATTAAAACAGCCTTAGTAAATCAGTCTGTCTCTCCTGGGGGTACTATTTACATTTATAAACAACATCTGGAGGCTCTCTATGCCCTGGGCACCCGTTCCACTAGGAAGAGTTCTAGCCCACAAGTCAGGGGGTCTGATTTGGGGGCCGTGTTCAGTCCCAGCTCACTGTGTGACTTTGGACATCAATCTGACTCATAAAATAAAGAGGTTGAAAAATCATCTCAAAGGTTTCTTCTCATTCTGGGAAATATGATTCTAAGAGTGGAAAGAAAAACATGAAGAAAAGGTTTCTAAAAGAGTTTTTTTGCTTTTGAAAATAGAAATAGGAATCTTGGACTAACACAGTGGTGTCTCTCAACTTTGCCTACGAGGCCCCAGAATGACACTTACCGGGAGGAGAAAACCAACATTTACTGAGTGCCCAGGATGAGCTAGAAACTCCGCAGACGCTATCTGATCTGTCTCAGAGCTGACCTAACCTCGGTGCCATTACCCTCACTTAGGGATGGCAGAGCTGAGCCTCAGAAAAGATCAACTGTTTTTCAGGCCCCGCAGCTAGTTAGACAGTGCATTTGAACCAGGCGGTCGGCTGCTGTTCCCGTGCTTTACACTGTTAGAGGATGAGGTGGCCAGGGACCCCTCAGTCTCTTTGGGGAGCCCTCGGGTAACAGGGTCTTTTGCAGACATGAGGCTGCCATTTGTCGAGTGCTCACCAGCACCCTGACCTGGTGCTTTACACAAATCATTTCACAAGGTAAGGGTTTGGTAGAACACAATTACAATAATAGTAATCATCATCATCATCATCTCCTTTGCAGGCTTAAAGTAGTGGAACAGTGGCAATTTCACATGATTCTAATTAATAGCATTACCCCCATTTTACAGATGAGCAAATTAAGTTCAGTGGAGTTAACTTGCTCACTTCCACCTCCCACATCCCAGAAGAGTAGACACCTTTACTACTCCATGTCCACTGCTTAAAGGGGGAAACAATCAAGTCATACGTGTAATTAGTGACAGACCGGGGATTCAAACTCAGGCCTGGTCGTCCACATTGTAACACACCTTGGCTCCAGGGGATGTTCGGTTTAAGTCTGCAGGAGGTGAGGCCAAACACTGTCATCCCAAAGAGACTTGCAAGATGACAGCCCCTCTGGCCTGAGAACGGCTTACGAGCCCATACGCTGCCCACCCAGCCCTGGCTGGGTCTCTCAGTGACGCTGCATTGGCCAGGAAGGGGAGCCCAGCAGGAGCGAAGGTCTCTGCCTCCGCCCACCGTGAAAGCAGCTGGTATTTGAAACATATTCACTGACTTGAGTAAAAAATTAATTTTACACCCTAGTTATGTCCCAGAAAATGTTGCTCTTTCAAGACACTTAACATATAAAGCCTGTTATATATGTGATTAGAGAAAAAAGAATCTTTCAAATGGAAAATTTTAGGAATAAAATATTTGAAATAAATGATCTTAACTTGCTACCCAGTTTTTCTCCTTTAGAGAAGGACACAATGGAAAGATAGTGTAAACCAGTATTAGCAGATAAGTATAATATTATGGGGAGTATAATTCCTATTCATGAAAGGATTTCCCTGACCCTATAGTTTCAAAATTTCCAGAAAATTCCATAATGTGCACCTTTAGTCTTATTATACTATTTCTAATCCTGTCAGGTTGTTCAAATTCATCTTTAAAATATGTGGTGGCCCTGGTAGAGTAGCATGGTCCGTTTGAGCGTTGTCCAAATACACCAAGGCTCTGGGTTCAACCCTCGGTCAAGGGGACTGAGGATTGGTTGATGTAAGAATCAACCAAGGAATGCATAAGTAAGTAGTATAACAAATTGATGGTTCTCTCTAAGAATCAATGAATAAAAATTTTGTAAAAATGTGTTGATACACTCAATAAATAGAACAATTATTCAGTCACCGTTGAGAAGAAACACAGTACAAAGTTCATAGGACAGTGCTCATGGTACTACATCAAAATTTACCATTCAAAACCTTTCAGGGCCCCATAAAAACATTCCAAGTCTTTCCCCGCTTCTTGCCGGGCTGGTGCATAGCCATGCTCTCCAACAGCAACACAGTGAATGAAACACTACCCTTTCTTCAAGGGCCGTTCAACGCCACCTCCTCTGTTGCTATTAACTTGTCCACACCCAGTTCCTCTATCACACCACTGGTGGCTACATTATGTTGTGGTCCACCTATAACAGTTGTTTGTGGAAGGGTCCCGCTCCCTCACTGTATTGCGAGCCTCACATCCTATAATGTGCCCTGGTTCACAGAAGGGGCTCAGTAGGCACGCTACATTCAAGGATATGTGTGTGTAAACTCACTATTTGCTATATCCATACAAGGCAAACCTGTTAACACCATAGAAAACACCACAGGGGAACAGAGGGAACTGGAACAGACTAGAACAAGGTACTGTTCTGCTGCTCCTCTGAAGATCTGTGTCCGAGCAGGGCAGGGTCTAACTTCCTCTGGTTGGGGTCTGCCTGCAGACCTGGTGTATCCCAGAGGCCCTCTGGCTTTGCGCCTCCCTGGAGTAAGGAGTCCTCTCATTGAGTGAAAGGGAACTCACAGGGCCGTCTGGGTCTGGGCCACAGACAGGAAGCTGGTGGGCAGGGGAAGCAGAGAGTGGCCAGCTTCCTTCTGAAGGACAGGTGGCGGTGAGAGGCAGGAAAGAAGAAATTGCGGCCCTAACTGCACACACGGTCCTGTCTTCTCCAGGAAATAATCTGGGTGCTATAACTGAAAGGCAAGTTACCTACCGAAATTATCTCCCTCACAGCCAGAAATTAGACTCATAAGAGAGCCACTCGGGGTTACAGCAGACTCCCACCCAGCCAGGCATTCCCACTTCAGGGAGAAGCTGTTTGATCAATTTGCTTTCCTAACCCTTTTTTTCCCCAGGGCTTCACTTGGGGAATGGGAGTTTTAATGTGGAAAGGGGGAGCTGGAGAGAACAGGAGATAATGCTGAGTCATGGGAGGGTAGGCCTGAATGCAGCCGGCTTCCTGACAGACACAGGGTGGGGGTGTTGCACTGGAGGCACCCCCAGTGGCAGCCGTGGGGACAGCAGCGCGTTCGGTGTAAGACTGAGGGTGTCTGGCCAGGCAGCCTGGCTCAGGGGCGTGTGGCCCTCCAGACCCTCAGATGCCTCATCTGGTGATGATACAGGGTGAGAGACGACATACGCAAATGGCTTGTTTAGTAAGTAAGCAGTTAGGTATTATTTTCAATCCACTTTCCTGCTGTGCCTAAGGAAAGTCCTTCCCTGTCTTTCCTAAGTCAAGGGCCATTGTCCTTCCTCACTCGGGGCTGTGCTGCCTGTTGTAGTCAGATGAGCTGGACAAGGATGGGTCCTGGAACGGGGCCAGGGCCTCTGCTTGTCCTAACCACGGGAGCAACCTGTTTCCTGAATCACCTTTCCACACATTTGCTCCAGGGTCCAGGATTGTCCCTGGTAAACAGAAGGTATGCTGGAAGGTACTTCGGGAAATATGGCAGGTAAGGATTTGGCCCAATGCCCCCACTCACCTTATCAAACCCTCTGATGCCTCCATGCAGACTGTTGGGCCCCTTGTTAATGGCCAGCTTGACCTCCTTCCCGTCTAACGTGAATGTCCCTTTGGCAATGCGGTTGGCCACCCTGCCGACCACTGCTCCAAAGTAGGGCTGCTGCTGGAGGTAGCCTGCAAGGACATGGCATTGAGGAGTTTTTGAAAACTTCAAACCTAAGGCAAGGCTCACATGGCTATCCACCACTTTCTCCTGGGAACACATCCTCATGGAAACGGAAAAATGCTGTTCTCTGTTCATGGCCTTTTCCCCTTCCAAAAGCAGTCAACATTTTTAAAGGACTTTGTAAAACACAAAGAAGAAATTTAAATCATCCTAATATCATCACCAGAGAGAACCACCGTTAATATTGTGAAGTACATCCTTCTGTCGTCTAGCATATGCCTACATATGCTTTCCTTCTCTTTTTTAAAAAATTAAACTGGGGTCTTAGTACGCATGGTGCACTGTAATCTGCTTTTTTCCCTAGGTTGATCCATTTTTTCACTAAAAAATTTTTTGTGTGGGTAGCCTTGAGAAGAAACTAATCTTATCTTTCTTTTTTCTTTCTTCTTTCTTAAAAAAATCATACAATTAGTACATCAAAATGTCCTTTAAAGAGTGTTAAATAGCCCTGGCTGGGTAGCTCATCTGGTTGCAACATCATGTAGATACTCCAAGGTTGCAGGTTTGATCTCTAGTCAGGGTACATACAAGAAGCAACCAATGAATGCATAAATAAGTGGAACAACAAACTGATGTTTCTCTCTCTCTCTAAAATCAATCAATAAATTTTAAAAAGTTAAAAACAGTGTTAACTAGTACACAAGTACATAGAGTAGTCTTGCCGGAGGAATTATAGGCACCCAGTGAAATAGGAACTTCAAATAAATAATGAATACCATTTTAGTATAAGTATATTCATATTATTGTTATACATGGCACATACTACAGGTGTGGAAACTGAGAACAGAAAGGTTAAGTAACTTGCCCCCAAACACATAGCCAGTTATGACAGAACCAGGATTTGAATGCACACAGCCTGGCTCCTAAGTACATGTTCTTGAGAGTGACATTATTTGGACAGTGCAAGCCTTTCTGATTCATTGACCTCACTACCATCTCTTAGCACGGGCCAGGTGGATCTGTCTATCAGCTCCTACCCACCTCTCCCTGCACTCTCCCCTCTTTCTGAAGCTGTCCCTTTAAAACCCCTTAGTCTGGGTAACCAAAGGGGTCCCAAAGGGCCAAATAATCTTTTCTTGGTTTTGCTTCATATGTTTTTATTTTTAATAGACTTTATTTTTTTTTAAGAAAGCAGTTTTTGGTTCACAGAAAAATCAAGCAGAAAGTACAGAGATTTCTCATATACCCCCCGCCCCCACACATGCACAGCCTCTGCCATTACCAACATCCCCCAGCAGAGTGGTACACTTATTATATTGATCAACCTACCCTGACAATCACTGTCACCTGAAATCTGCAGTTTGCATCATGGTTCACTCTTGTTGTACATTTTCTGGGTTTGGACAAAGGTATAATGACACATACCCTCTGTTACAATACTATACAGAGTATTTTCACTTCTCTAAAAATGGGTGCACTGCCTATTCATCCCCTCCCATCCCCTGAGTCTCCGGCAACCACTGATCTTTTTACTGTCTCCATAATTTTGCCTTTTCCAGAATGTCCTATAGTTGCAATCATACAACAGGTAGCCTTTTCAGATGGGCTTCTTTCACTTAGTAATAGGCATTTCAGGGTGCTCCTTGTTTTTTCGTGGCTCGATAACTCATTTCTTCTTGGCACTGAATAATATTCTGTTGTCTAGATGAACCACAGTTTATTTAATCATTCACCTACTAAAGGACATCTTGATTGCTTCCAAGTGCTGGCAATTATGAATAAGCTCCTACAAACACCCATGCACAGGTTTTTGTGTGGGTATCAGTTTTTAACCCCTGTAATTAAATACCAAGGTGTATGATTGCTGGATCATATGGTTCAAGCATGTGGAGTTTTATGAAGAAACCACTAAACTATCCCCCAAAGTGGCCGTTCCCACCAGCAACGAGTGAGCACTCCCATTGCTCCACATCCTCACCAGCATTTGGTGTTGTCAGTGTTCTGAACTTTGGCCACTCTAACAGGTCTCATCTTAATTTGCACTTCTCTGATGACAAATGATGTGGACATTCATCTGTTCTTCAGGAGTTCAAAAATACGAAGAAAACAGAATTTCTGTTCAAAAATTATTTAGCTCTCTCTCTCTTTTTTTTTTAGCTGTCTCTATTTTTGACTCCTACGATGATTCATTCAACAAGTGCACACGGAGCCCTTTCTCTCTGTCAGTCACAGCTTAGCAACACTGACAAATCCAACAACAAGGCCGCTGCCTCCTGGGCTTGCAAGAACTGCCTCAACCGGAAATGGTTAATAATAGGCTCGCGGAGATATGAAGCACTTGTTCATCCTTGGTTTAGATGAAGCATTTTTAAGGATTAAACTGTAAGGACAGCAGAAGCCACTGCTCCCAAGTGTCTCTGGAAACCTTTTTTAAAAAAGATTTTTATTTTTATTTATTTTTAGAGGGAGAAAGAGAGGGAGAGAAGAAACATTGATGTATGAAAGAAACATCGATTGGTTGCCTCTCGCATGTCCCCCACTGGGGGGTTGGACTGCAACCCAGGCACGTGCCCTGACTGGGATTGAGTTCGCAGGCCGGCACTCAATCCACTGAGCCACACCAGCCAGAGCTGGAAAACCCTTTAGAACAAATGGATCGTATACTATCTTCACATGTTATTAAACTTTTATATCAAATCAGAATTAGAAAACATGACAATCCCCAAATTATTAATAGGACATGACTAAAAAGCTTGTTTGAAGTGCAGCAAGTACTATTTTCTATGAAGAAAAAGAGTTTCTAGCTAAAGCCAGGAATGCTGACTTAATCAAGTCGAATGCTGACGTAGGGTCAAGGGTAAAGGAAAAGTTTGTCCATTTTTTTTTGAGCGAGGGACTAGCCAGAACATAGTCATAAATGCTTAACCACAGGGTATGGTTCTTTCCGTCTTCTAACATCCCAAGGTCCCAGCTACGACATGCACTTCAGACAGACAAGCCTTCGCCAGGTGCCCTAAAGTCTCAAATAAAGTTGCTCCTTAGTCTCAGCCAAAACCTCCACACCCTGATCCACCTTCCTTGGTATTTTGAGGAGAACAAACATTACTTTACTCAATTAGCAAGCACTTCAAGGATCCCAAATATTTTATATATTTTTAAATGGCTGCTGGCTGTCCCAGATGAATCTCCATGCCATTACTTTTCTCAGTGTTAACAAAATGAAATAAGAAGTTCAAGTAGTGTGAGGGTATATTTGGGGGGGCGGGGGGTAAAGGAAGGAAGGAAGATAAAAATATTAACTGTTCACCATAGTTACATACTATCACGGCCAATAGCACATTTAATCATCATTACCCACTTGTTCTAGGTGAGAAAAGAGGTCTGGAGAGGTTAAGTTAAATAACTTGCTCAAGGTCACAGTGCTTTAAGGGACAGAGCAGATTCAACCAGGAATCCTCAACGTTCCCATACGGGCATGGTTGGGCATTTATCGTATTAAAGTGCAGCTTCTACACTGGTCCCTTTTCCTCAGGAGCACTCCCTCTTATGAACTCAGGTTTTCTAAGAGCGCTAAGTTTATTTCCTCTAGTTTTCCAGAGTGGCTCTCATGGTAGTAAGAGCTGGGTGTTGGGTGGTAATGGGGAGGGAGAAGGGAAGGACTCATATTGATTGTATGGGTACTGTTTGTTCCTGTGGTTTATAAGCAAATATTCTCATCATAGGTTTTGAAAGAAATCATGACTACGGGTGGGACATGCAGATGAAAAACATTTAAAAATATTTTGCCTTGGCTGGTGTGGCTCAGTGGATTGAATGCTGGTCTTTGAATAGAAAGGTCGTGGGTTTGATTTCCATCACCAGTTCCATTCCCAGTCAGGGAACATGCCTGGGTTGTGGGCCTAGTCCCTGGTTGGGGATGTGCGAGAGACAACCAATCAACATTTCTCACACCAGTGTTTCTCCTCCTGTCTTTCTCCCTCCCTTCCCCTTTCTCCAAAAAAATAAATAAATAAAATATTTTTAGAAACAAACAAACAAAACCCAGCATAAAAACTCACAGGAGGCATGACTTATTTTTCCCAGCCTATTAACTAAAAGATCATATGATCTACCTTTTTAGAATTCTACAGAAGAGAAATCTCATTTTCCCAGGGAGAAAGTGAACCATTCTGACCGCAGGTCATGGCCATCATCCAAGCAGTTTACATAATCTATGTGGGAAATTGGAAATAGTTCACATCTAACCTGGTGGCTACAAAAGGACCACATCTCATGGAATTCTCCATGCTTAGCTCTTCCCCACAGCTCAAAACATGTTTGGGGACACAGTAATGAATGTAACTCCTTACTCTGGCACATCTTACTGCTTCAAGTTATTTGCTTCAGTTTGTTAGTATGGCATAGACTCAGACATTCTTAAAGACTATATAGTGAAAATTAAGTCTCCTTCCTATCCCTGTACCCCAGCTACCCAGAGTCTCAGCTTGAGGGCAACCACTGTTGCCATTTTCTTAACATGAGTTTCAATACACTACAATTGATTGAAATAGCAGAGAGCCCTTTCATATCACTGTTTCGTGCAGCTTAACGGTGGGGACACGTGGATAGGTTTCGCCGCTGTGCGAACATCACAGAGCATGCTTACACAAACCCAGATGGTATGGTTGGTGCACTACCATAGCTCGTGGCGTCCGAGCTTGGCCAGAATACTGTCAGGTAGCTACGACTATGTACTGATTGAGACAGTTATGCTTCTTGTTATGAAGGCGTCTTTATTTTTGGCAATATGAAAAGAATCTACAGAAAACTTGAAGGGCAGGGCCTTGAAACAGGAACATGGACACCCTCTGCGAGAGCTGAATATGTTAGAAAGTATTACTTTATAGTCTGAAGGTTTTACCCCAACTCCTGTTTTAAAAACAGCTCATTACCTTTCAAAATAAATAAGTTATCTAAATTATAGCGTAGGAATTAAAATTTTCTCTTGGTGCTTTTTGTGAAGCCTGTGATGCCTCCTGGTTAAGAAAATGCTGTTTAACTTTCTCAGAAGGTGTTAACAGCATGTGGGTGACACGGTACAAGTCAGGGGATCTCAGTGGCTGGGGTTTTTTCTCCCCTTTAAGAACATCTGGGGAAAATATTTTCTTTCACCCAGACCCCCACAAGAGTCACAGACTCATAGAGACAATTGCATAAATGTCCTCACCGAATTGGCATTTTGATGCCTAGTACTTCCCACGTGCCATGTCACCGTGATGCACATTTCGTATGAATTCCAGAAAGACACCATGTTCTTTAAGCTCTGTGTGACTCACATCAGATGTAAAAATGGTATGAACTGAGTGTGTACAGGGGGAAGGTGGTTACCTACTGAGTGGTGATAAGGCAGAGATGGAAATGAGGAGATGCAAGCAGGTGCTCTTAGCTTATCGTCTCCAGTTCTTTCCTGGTTCTGCAATCGGAGACCAAATACTTAATTCCTTGACTCCATGCCCAATTTTGCACCAGTCAAGTAATCTCTTTATGGTTCTGTTTCAGCCTGAAAAATAGTTACGCTATTAACAGAAAGAGGTGACTCAGCAAAATAATTCTCAGAAATCCTTCTTTTTTTGCTTTCCTCCCTCTCTAAAAAATCCTCTTTTCTCATTTGTCAACCCTCTTGACTTTGAAGACAGATGTGAACCCTCACCCCCAGAAATTCAAGGGGACACAGAGCTGATTTTCCCTACATCCTTGCACCTTCCCACCCTTGAGCCTCCTATAAAGATTTGCTGAAGTCACCAAAGAAATTCTGCTGAAGATTACCTGTCCCCTCTCCAGGCCAAGCTGTGGAAGCTCCAAGGCAGACAAAGACAACCACAGGGCAAGGAATAGGGTCCTCAGGAATGTTCTTATAAAACGCTGAGGATACGGGGAGCAAATTTCAGTCTCCTCGGGAAAAACCAATACCCTCGTGAGTTTTCTGTTGACCTCCAACCATGAGCCATGCTACAGATCTAAAGAACCAAACAGACCGAAAGACACGCCTAAAGGAAAACCTCAAAATCCCTCTCTAAGCAGATTTTGTCCATGCCTCTACCACTGAGCAGCGGATGTTCATTCTCAACACTTTCTCTGCCAACTTGATTTCAAACCTCATTTTCTGTCTAGTTGCACCCTTACTGCAAAGAGAGCACTAATGATGCTTTGCGATCAAACTGCAATTGTAATTATTCATTTATGCAATTATTTGGCTAACGGTTATGTCCCTGGCTAAAGGGCAGCTCCATGAGGCGGGGGACCTTGTCTGTCTTCATTGGATAAGATCATTGAATTAACAGTTTTTAGACGCATGTATTATTATGTGATTTTAATTGCCCAGGGATTCCAACGGAATGAAAGTCCACCCTAGTTGGGAGACCTCATTTCTAGACAGCAAGGTCTTCTGCCTTCCATTCTGTGCAGAGCTGTAGAGCGGCAGGCAGGGCCCCTGAGCACCAACCGACCCCACCCAGATCAAAGTGGATAAGCTGTCGGCAGCCCTGAGCATTGCTGAGACAACGGTGCCTCAAAGAGAATCTGATGAAGGAAAAAGGAAGTAGAGCAAGCAAGCCTTTGATTTTCCTTCTTGAGAACGCGCCTGAGGAAGGGACCGGAGCCACACCCCCTCTAGCCTGCTTTTTCCTCTCCAGCCCTCACAAAGATCAGGCAGTTCAAAGGTCGCTCCAGGGTTGCTGGACTTTAATCTTGCCTTCAACTGACTTTTTAAATTGATTGAGGCAAAGCCTGAATGGATAACCAGAAGAGGCCAAGTCCCAAAGCCGTTTCCATTCATTTTGTCTTTTTTTTTTCCAAGCACTGGATCACAACACAGTGAGTTAGTGGGATCCAAGCGCTCCTGAGGGTCCCAAGCTCAGTCCTTCCCCTGGGTCCCCTCCGAGAGCAGTCTGATCCGAGCAGTCTGATCCGGGGAGTGTGGGGGGTGGGTCTGAGGCCCACCGGTGGCCCGGGGCAGAGTTCAACCCACCTTCCAACTCGGCAAAGCCAAGCACCACATCTGAGGCTCTGCCCTGCCTGTCTTTGACCTCCAGGGCCGTAATGGTGCAGCCCCAGGAAATGATGTCCACTCTCAGCAGGTCTGACTGCAGCCGGAACTTCTCCACTGTCCCTGCCCCCGAGGGCAGCTCCCCAAACACCGATCTGGTCACCGAAACCATGGGGAAAGCTCGGGAGTACAGCTAGCTGCTCCTGGCACTTCGAAATCCTGCCACGGAATTTGTAGCAACAGCAGTTTACTGGAAAAGGGGTGGGACCACGGCACAGACTCCTCCCCGATCTTGCCTGGATCCAGGGAGTGACTACTGCTGCAAAAAATATCCCCTGGTGCCTTTCTAATAGTTTATTTGCCTAAGGGTCACCTGATGCAAAAATTCCAACCTTGCTGGTAGTTCTTTTCCTTTGCTAACCCTGGCTGCATTGCATGTTGGGAACGGTAGTCTTCGGGAGGTGAAATTGCATTTTGGGGCCTGTAGTCTTTCTAAATCCAATGCTGAACCTGCAGGATTCCACCCGGTCTCGGTTCTGGCCCAAGGTTCTCCACAGACAATGAGCTGTTGTTCATTAATGGTGGCGGCTGTCTTTCAGATTAAATTCTGGGAAATACAGAGAGCAGAATTAGAGACAGTGAGACAGATCTTGCGGGGGAGGGGGGTAAATTCTGGTTTTAAGTTAGTTCTTTGATCCCGGGGCAAAGAAGTGCAGGGGTGGTTTAGAGAAGGGGTAAGTAATTGCAGGCTTCTTGTCGCACTGCACACTGACAGAAGATCCATTGTGTTTGTCACATGGGGCAAAGTCCTGTACCTGTTTCTGCTGGGGCCACTGCCCAAAGGCCCTCCCGACTGCTGGCCTGCAGTAGCCGACTAGACAGGGGCGCCGTAGACGGTCAGGTGTGTTTGGAGGTGATCAGAGGCAAACTTCTGCCTTCAGGGGACTGGGTAAAGGTATCTGCCCCCTTATCTTGTTCTTGAAGCCCAGAGTTCCTTTACCATGGGATTAAGAAAAGAACTATTTAAGAAGGTCCTCATAAATATCTGATACGTGCTTTTATTATCTCCTTTCCCCAAGCAGGAAAAGGCTGTAAGTGTGTGCTGCTGGGAAAGACACTGAGGTTGTTAAAGAATTGTCTGTCATGCCTTAGTATGCCTCACAATAATTTGTAGAGATTTTATTTTTTTCATAGAGAGGGGAAGGGAGGGAGCAAGACAGGGAGAGAAACATTGATCTGAGAAACATCAATTCATTGCCTTCTGCACACACCCCGACTGGGACCAAGCCTGCAACCCAGGCATGTGCTCTGATGAGAAATCGAACTGGCGACCTTTTGATTTGCAGGAAGGCACCAAGCCAACTGAGCCACACCAGTCAAGGTTGCGGAGAATTTTACAATGCATATTCCCAGGCCTGTCCCTGGACTTTCCAATTCTGTGAGTCCAGGATGACACTCAGGGATCTGTCTTTTTCATAGGTTCCCCAGGTTATTCTAATGCAGATTTTCTAGGAACAAACCTTGAAAAATATTGCTCTAAGTTTTGAGGACTAATTTCAGGGTTTTTCTCCTCCCAAAATAGGCTCTGATGGCAGAGGACTTAAACAGAGCTACTAAAGGCCCTAATAGGATTGTCAGATAAAATACAGGAACCTGTGTATATATTTCTTTACTAAATCTGGCAGCGCTAGACAGTGCTGGGCCTCTGGCAGAGGGAGGGGTGCTGGAAGCCTAAAGACAGGTGTTACTTGATGGTCTGCATACTCATCTCATTTTTGCTTGATGCTGCTTTTGGTTTGGTTCCTAGGTCAGAGGGGGTCCAGCCAGACATTTGTGAGTGCCGAAAGCATCTATGACTAAGAAATTAGGAGAATTGGGGTCATGTTTCTGGAATCTGACGCTGATAAAACATAACTGTCTCTTAGCCTTTTCTGTCTGTGTAGTTAGTCGGAAGGAATATTTAGCATTCTTGCCACAAAGCCTCAATTCTCATTCACGAAGCAGGGGAATTCTGATAGCAAAGGAAAACGAGAGCTTGCAACAGGCTTCGGTGAAGCATAACACATAATAATAAAAAGACGCCAGCAAGCCAAATTACAGACTGCGCCACACATACAATAACCGATAAGCACTCTTGCTTGTGGCTTCTTTAGAAATGCTCATGAACTCTGCAGCCCTCATCAGCCCACTTCACTTTTAGGCTGATTCATACACAAGCCCTTTTGCTTATGCTGTGTTAGCAAGGATGTCTTAGACTCTCTTCTGTGAGCAGGAAGACTGCATTTTCTTTTCTCAGCCACCCGTTCTCAATGTTCTGCCAAGCTCATGTTGTCACCAGGAAGAAATAAACGCATTTGAATGGCCAGACCCAGATGTCACTTGGGGAAGTCTTATAGCTTGGCTTGGTAGAAAAGGAAACATACCATGATGTCTAAGATGTAAGGAACATGCTTCTTGATTTCAATTTCCTTGTGCTATTAAGGGTTTAACATATTGTGCCAAGTAGGATTACCTTGTGGTAAGGCAGGTGTACAGGCACAAACCTTGATTTTTCATACTAAAATATCCTATTTTCCTAGTTCCCAAGGTTGGATTAGATCAGAAGCAAACTAGTAATCTTGAAAAGGCAACATCAAATTCTAGCAGATAATTTATTTTTATTTTGGGTATAGGGGCTGAGGGTAACCCTCTGAGGTAAAGGGAGTAGGAATTGTGACATTTATGTCAATGAATAGTTACTCAGAGTGAGTAACTTTACTTCCCATCAGATATGGGTGGTCAGATGAAGGATAAGTTCTGTCACTGTTCTCAGCTGGAGGTTAGTCCCCAAAGCTGAGTGCTGAGGAGCCTGAAATGAGGACATCTGAGCCCCAGGACATCTGGGTTGCATCTCCTCACTCTACACAGAAACTATAGGTGCACCCTTCCTGGGACCCATCAGACTCTGGGCCCAGGAAAAGGGCTGGTTCCAAAGCCTTAAGCTGTTGACAGGCTGCTATGCAGAGGAAACTCTGAGATAAAACAATAAAAACAACTCACAATACCTCAGCGTTTATCTCTAAAGAGACCTAGAGTAGATTGTTTTCAGTCAGGTTGACACACTACCACCTTCCTGTTTTCTTTCTTCCCGCTTTGAACTCCAATAGTATTTATTGCCAATTCTCTTCACTGGGCGCTCAGCACGCACTGTCTTAGATCATGCCTTGTCTTTCCGGGAGTACATTTGACTGTTGTGATTGTTAACTATTAGCTCTCTGGCTCAATATTTTGACTTGTATATATTTATTCTAAACATCACCATACTTAGTCTCAGATGGAAACTACTTGTATCTGAAAAACAAAGATGGAAAACTTGTACCTGGGAGAATCCCATTGGGTTCATGAGAAGCGGAATTCTCACAATTTGATTCAACTCTATTTCATCCACAGCTTTGGAGTAGCTGCTGGAGAAGACAGTATGGATGCAGGTGAGAAGTTACTGACGAAGACATTAAATTTAGCTGTATGATGTGTTAATCACTTGTCAAGTACTCAACAGTGTGTGTCAGGCATTGTGCTAAGTGCCAGTTGTATACTGATAAGTAAAACATTATCCTGGTCTTTTAGGGAGATGGCAGTCCCATGTAATAAACGCTCATTTTTATCCTCTATGAAAACTTCAGTAAAACCTGGAAAATTTATTACCAGTCCATGCTGGTTGAAACAAAGTGTGAGACTGGCCTCAAGGTGGTTATAATTTCAGGGTTGCCCAAAGGTCATCAGTCATATCGGGAGTATTTCAGAATTCACTAGCACCAAGCAGTGACTGGCAATATTAGATGCTCAATAAATAATTATTGGTCCTGGCTGGCATAGCTCAGTGGATTGAGCACGGCCCTTGGAAAGGGTCACTGGTTCGATTCCCAGTCAGGGTACGCGCCTGGGTTACAGACTAGGCCCCCAGTAGGGGGCGTGCGAGAGGCAACTACACATTAATGTTTTTGTCCCTCTGTTTCTCCTTCCTGTCCCCTCTCTCTAAAACAAACTAAATAAAATCTTTAAAAAAATTATTATTGAATAAATACATGATATATTCATAAGTACAATGTTGTAGTGGAGAATTGGCTCGGGTGTCAGAAGACCTGGTTTCAAAGGCACTAGAATTTATTGGCAATTTGTTCAACTACTCTGAACCTCAGTTTCCTCTTCTATTACATAGGAATAATATCACATGATTGGCCCCCCAATTATTTTTGATTGCCAGTAAATATAAAGTATGAAAAATTTACTGGGCACCATAATAAGCATCCCTGTGAGTCAGGCACTATTATCTGATACAGAAATTGAGATTTAGAGTGGTTTGGAAGCTTGTTCAAGGTCACATGGCTAGTAAGTCAGGAAACCACGATTTGATCCCAGGCAGCTTGACTGCAGAGACAGGAGCATTTAACCACTTCCTTATACACTGTCTACGACGGAGGTCAACTGAGAGCATGGATGCCAAAGCACTCTGTAGGTTCTAACACATTACACCATGTAAAACGTTTGTCTTCTAATTTTGATGGTAATTACAAATTTTTATAAATTGGCTTCTGGAAGCTCATTAGGTCGCATTGAGCTCAAAAAGTAATTATACAGTACAGATAAAGAGGGGACAAGGAGAAGAGCTGGTCCTTGGCACCCACATACCCTGAAAACAAGGCACTGATCACTTTTGGGCCATATATATATATATATATATATATATGGCCCAAAAGTGATCAGGCTATATATATATATATATATATATATATATATATATATATATATATAATTCATTCATTCATTTACTTGTCATCGTGTATCCTGCTGAGAAAATGGAAGCTCCAAGAGAGCAGCTCCAATGAGAGTTCCAACGGAACTTTCACTGCTGTATTCCTGTACCTAGAACAGATTAATAGGTCACTAAAAAGTATTTTTTGAATGAATGTTTGAATGCTAGAAAGGATGTGAAGCATCTCTCATACAAAGCTGCTGAAAGTCTCAGTTGATAAAACCGCTCTGCACAACAACTTGTCAACATCTAATAAAGTCAAATTGCATATAGCTCAGCAATGGCCGAGGCCCAGAAATTTCATTCCTTGGAATATACCCTAAATGATGGTTTGCATATGGGCATAAGAATATTTATAGCAGTATTATGTGTTGGAATAAAAATGTGGCAACAAGGAAAGGTCCAACAGCTGAGAAATGAATTAAAAAATTATGGTATATCCATGTAACAGGAAAATGACAAAACAGGAAAATGAATGCACTAAGGCTCCACCAGTTCTCAGGCATGAATTTCATAACTTTGATG